TCTGCTTTGGCATTTGATCTGTTTATATGCTGTTTTAGTTGAAGTATGTAAAGAAAATGTGTCCTCACACAGACTTTTGGGGGAAAAAATTTTTTTACAAATCCTTTCAGATAGTTGTGGCTATACTTATTTCATATTTCACTAAAACTTGACAAGGTTTCTTAAATGTCGATTGAGTTGCAGCGTATATTCTGCAACGACATCAGTGAACTTTTCATATTCTGTTACCTTTAATCTGTTAGTCTATCTTGCATGCATAAAAGATCATTCAAAGGGCAAGGTAGTTTTTTTTTATATTTCTATATTCTTTTCTTTCTAGTGTCATTCACTTCACATAATGTTTTGAGATTTATCCAAGTTGCTGCATCCATGTAGCTGTGATTTAATTCTTTTCAAAGTTGTAGAGTATTTCATTGTACGATTATAAAATGTCATTCATTCATTCTCCTATTTCCCTATTTGGTAGTTCTAGTTTTGTTTTTTACCATTATCACTAATGTTTTATTAGTATTCTTGTATATATCTTCTGGTTCACAAGTGCGTACATTTTTGTTGAGTATGTATTGGATATCCAAATTTTCAACTTCAGCAAATTAACTCTTTTGTAAAGTGGTTATATAAAATTATACCCCTCTCAGGGCTCTATGGATTTTCTTAATGCTCCACATTCTTGCCAATACTTGGTGTTCTAAGACATTTTAATTTTAACAATTACCCTAGATTTCTTCTCTCCTTCTGAAAGAATAATGGTTATTCTGTTGATTTGTTGCCTAGATGATCTGTCAAATGCTGAGAGGTATGACCAGATCCCCCAATATTATCACAGAGCAGATGCTGCTTCTGTCACTCTGGGATGGGCTTGGTGGAGAGAGACATCCTCTTCTTTTCTTTATCTCTGCTGTTGACCCTCCTTGTGTCAATGCACTCCAGTGGCTGGCGGATCATCTGCATGGTGGTTGTGGTGTCTAGCTGCTTTTGTGGCAGCCATGGTTACTGTGGTGGCTGTGGTGGGCCACCTACATGGAGGTGATATTTTTGGCATGCTCCTTGGCTCTGGCATTGTGCCTGGTTGGCCCCTGAGCAACTGGCGTGTTGTGCCTGGTTGTGGGAAGGGGGTCTGGTCCCCTTGTCCATGCCTTGAGTCCCTGGGCAGGCCCTGAGGCACTGGCACAGTGTGCCTGGTTGTGAGAGGGGATCCCATTCCCCGGCTCCAAGCCTTGGGTCCCCAGGGAGCCCCTGAGGTGCTGGTACAGTGTGTCTGATTATGGGAGGGGGGTCAAGACCCTGGCTCCATCCCTTGGGTCCCTGGGTGGGCCCAGAGGTGCTGGCACGGTGTGTCTGGTTGTGGGAGGGTAGCCCAGTCCCTGGCTGCAAACCTCAGGTACCCGGGCAGGCCCTCAGGCAATGGCGTGGTGTGCCTGGTTGTGGGAGGAGGGTCTGGTTCCAAGATCCATGCCTCAGATCTCCAGGTGGGCCCTCCCCCATGCCAGGCTCCTAGGCGCTGGAGTGGTGTGTCTGAGCTGTAACTAATTTTTCTGTCTTTTGCTTACTACTGCTAAAGTTGGGGGACTTCCTGTTGGAACCAGTACATGAGCTCTGTGGTTTAGCTAAGTTGCTGCTTTACTGCTGCCTCCCTAGGAAAGACTTTTTGTGCAGCACATTTTATAATGGTTGACTTTATAGGTGTTTCGGGCTCTCCAGAGACGGTGCACCTGAGTTGTGTATTAATTCTGATCTGGGCCTGAGTCTTTTCATCAAACTGCATCCTATGAAATTCTGTATTCTTGACTAGTCTCCTCTGAATGGTCCTACACTGATTTGGGTGCAGATCAGCTGTCTTTTCTGTATCCCAGTGCGCCCCTGGTGGGCCCATCTCTCCCACTGCCCATGCTGCAAACACTTCCCCTGGAATGGGCCATGCACCAGTCCCTTGGGACAATTCACTGGCCTCTGAGTGGCCCCATTTTTTCAGCTGTTCTGGCTCCTCACTCCTATGTGGGTCTACGGGAACCCTGTTTGTGGTCTTGCTGGCCTGGGGTCCACAAAGGCCCTCTTCTCCCCTGCCTCCTCCAAGCAACTCCATCTGTAGGGCACAACTGTGGCTCTGCTGGCTTCTGCTCCATGTGCTTAGCAGCTCCAACCTTAAAGCAGCCGTGGCACAAAATGATCAGAGCAGTTTTTTCTTTCTCTCATCGTGGCTTCTCCCACCTTCATGAACTCCGTAGGTCTCTCTTCCTCTTCCCCTGAGCTCCAGCGGCCTCAGCTTGGCTGTAGTTGCTTTTTTATGTAGTTGTAAATTGGTTGATTTTTGGGAAAGAGCGATGCTGAGGACCGTTTATTCTGCCATCTTGACCGGAAGCTCTAAATTTGGTTTTTAACAAGGTTGTTGATTCCTTATTTCTGTTAAGATTGTGAGCCTAAGTAATAATGAAAGCTAGCAAAGTTATTTCCTAAACATGAACATATAATTTTATCCTTCTGAGAAAATTTGTGGATTGAAGAAAATAAAAATTTCACCATTCTTTGTAAAACTTATATTATATTGAAGGTAAACATATTACAATAATTTTCAGTCCTATATAAGATCATATAATTCGAATAAATTAAATATTATTAACAAAAAAGAAAACTTTATAACTTACATATTAAAGAATGGGTTTGTATTATAGAGTTCTTAAGGTTAATATATGATGAAATAAAAAGCACTTGAAATTCCTCGTCATTTATGAAAGTTAGTAGTTTTAGATTGCTATGGGACTTTGAAACCATCTATTTGGGCAAGTTAGAAATGCAAGGGATATTATGCATAACAATGCCGGGAATATTATATTGAATATTTTACTATTCTAAAAGTAGTATTAAGGTACTCATTTGTGATAGGTCAAATTTATTTTTTACAACAGAGAAAGGAATTATAATGTTTTATATAAATTAGTCCTTCAATATATGTATGTACATTGTATGAAGCGATGGGATTTAAGGAGGCAAGTCTGAAGGAAGGTACAAAAGTATAGGAATTTGTATAGTATACATTTCGAAGTGTTTAACTGAGCGATAATAAGTACGATCATTTTCTTTCTTTCTTTCTTTTTTTTTTTCTGTGACCGGTAAGGGGATCGTAACCCTTGGCTTGGTGTTGGCCACACTGTGCTATAGGATCCGAACCCGTGTGGCCTCGGCGCTCTCAGCGCCGCACTCTCCCAAGTGAGCCACAGGGCCGGCCCAGTACGATCATTTTCTAACATTAGAAAACTACCGTATATCACAGAAAACCTAACACCCAAAATGCCTTTTTTTCACAGAGTTGCTGGTAAAGGGACTATCATATTTGTACCTTAATTTTGTAGTTAAAGAAAGATTTATTCTTAAACTTATTTTTTGGCATGAATACAAAAACTAGCAAGCACATGGATGAAAATGTATGAGAATGTAATCTAATTCTTTAGCCTATTATTCTCCAGTGTTTGACTTTTTTTTTTTTTTTGGTGACTGGCCAGTAAGGGGATCGAAACCTTTGACCCTGGTGGTGGTAACACCAATCTCTAACCAACTGAACGAATAGGACAGTCCTGTTTGACTCTTTATTAATTAAAATATTTATGTATTACTATATTCCTCTGTTCTAATGAACTCTACTAAAACTAAAGACATTTTGGAAGATCTTGTTCACCTCCTTTAACTTTTACATATAATTTAAAAATTAAGCCACTTAATTCAGTTACCTGGTGTATATATTTTACCAAAATTTATTTGGAGGATGTTCCAAGAAATAGCATTATGCAAAACCAAGCTATATCTTTGTTAGTCATTAATTGTCATTTTAATTTTATTTTGCAAACAGGGATTGAAAAATATGAACTTCAAAAATTTTGAAAATGCTGATGATTTTCTCTCACTGCTATACTTAACTATTTTTGATGTATTTAACTTAGTGTTCATGAGTTTGCTTACATGTTCTTTCTTTTTTTTTTTTTTTTGTCTTTTTGTCTTTTTCCGTGTCCGGCAACGGATCGCAACCCTCAGTGTTGCCCCCGTACCGGACCGGGGACCGGCAATGGAATTGCAACCCTCGGCGTTGCTCCCGCGCCTCGCTCAGCCAGTGAGCGGGAACCGGTCTGTATGTGGGATGCGAACCCTCAG